TAAGGGAAGAAAGAATTTTATTGTTGGTGGACTCTCTAGACAAACTTGGGAACTGGCCCGTGGAGCATACATGGTGGGCTGTACCTGTGTGATGTCTCCCCTGTTAGGATTTCCCAGACTCTTAATATATAGAGACAAAGAAATCCAATTAGAAATGATCACTGGTAGCAATCAAGGCAGTGGGGTGTTGACAGGAGAACGGCCTATACATCAGCAGGATAGAGTGGGGACCCCCGGAATAGACCCACACGTACATGGCAGCTGAGCTCCAGCAGAGGTGCCAAGCTAACTCAGTAAGGAAGGCAGAGCCTTTTCAGTGAAAGAAGAAGAACGCAGCGTCAGGATTGGAGAAAGACACTTTAACAACCTGTGATATGCAGACAACACAACTTTGCTTGCTGAAAGTGAAGACGACTGAAGCACTTGCTAATGAAGATTGGAGACGACAGTCTGCAGTATGGATTGCAGCCCAACATCAAGAAAACAAAAATCCTCGCTGCTGGGCCAATACCAGTACCACGGACCGCCAGAACCAACACGTCTGTCCTGGAGGAAGTGCAGCTGGAATGTACCTTGGAAGTGAGAATGGCCACAATTCCTCTCACCTCCTTTGGTCATGTCGTCAGAAGGGACCATTCCTGGAGAAGGACTTCATGCTGGGTAAGGTGGAGGGTTGGCAGAGAAGACGACCCTCAAGGACATGGGTTGACACAGTGGCTGCAGTGACGGGCTCAAGCCCAGGGCTGTGAGGCTGGCCCAGGACCGGGCAGTGTTTCCTTCTGTTGTACACGGGGTCACTGCGTGGCAGAGGTGACTCAACGGCGCCTACCAACAACCAGGTCGACATCCATGTGGACAAAGGGTATCAGACAGAGGTGAAGATATTCTTAGACTGGGCACAAAAAGAACTGCAGATGTGAGGAAATAGACCCTTACTCTTGTGTTTATGGACCAGAGAAAGGGGAAGGGACAGAGACAAAGGGGAGCTAATGTGTGCAGAGAGAAAGTTCTGGAAAGGTGACCCACAGATTGTTCACAGTGGTTCTGGCTGGAGCAACAGGTCTGAGGTACAGGAGCGGACCCTCCAAGATGGCCACCAGACGGTCTTCAGTGTTCATACCCGTTGCGGATGGAATTGTTAGGTGCTGTCGAGTGGTTTCCACTCACAGGGACCCTGTGTGCAACAGAACCAGACACCACCCAGGCCCGCGGCACCCTTACCTGAGCGTCAACAGTCCGAGACTTTTCACACTGAACGGTCACCGCGGAGATCGGGCAATGCAGCCCCACGGAGGAAGGCCGGGCACGGGAGCCAGGGGTGAGGCGGGCAGCAGGTGGCCGGGGCCCGCGGCTCCTCCTTCTGCCGGAGCATCTGAGGAGGCTTCCCCCAGTGGCCCCTTCAAGGAGCCCCTGTCGGCTGCCTGCCCCTGGGGCTCTGCCACATGATACCGGACCAGCTGCCCACTGTTCAACCTTCTGTAGCATTTTCTCCAGGTGTTGTTCGGTTGGTCTGTGTCAGTGTAGATGGAAATACATTTAACCAACCATTTTCCATTTCAGCCATTTTTGTGTGTACATTCAGTGACAGCCTCTTTGCAGCTCTGCCCGCGGGCACGCCTCCCTCTGGGCCTTGGCCTCTCAGGCAGTCTCTTGGCGTCCACCCGCGCGGGCAAGAGTTACGACATTCCGTTAGCTCTGCCAGTGTAAGTGCCCAGGGACAGCTCGCTGTGCCCGTGAGCCTCAGCCACGGGTCTGCAATGTCCGCTCCTCCCGGTGTCTGGAGGCGGTGTCTGGAGGCTCCCCCCACCAGCAGGCCTCCTGGCGGCTTTCTCGCTCTGGGCGTCCAGAAGCCCAAGGCGCTCCCTTGGCCCGGTCCCCTGGCCCTGCCCCTGCCATTTTCCTGCCGCGGCTGCTTCCTGCCATCTCACCAAGGTGGTGCCGCTCTCTCACTGTCTGCCGGGCCGAGGAGAACCAGCCCAGGCTCTCAGGTCCACAGCACCTGCTCCACCCCTGGCTCTTCCTTGACAGTAGTGACACCCCCTTTCCCGCCTTTGACGTGGCTCATTTTAAGCCTAGTGGATGGCAAAACTGACCAATCCCCACGTTAGGATACCACACACCTTATTTACATTGTGAAGTCCCCACAAATGTGGCATGGGCCTTATTTACATTATTAGCAAGCTATCCAGTCCCCTTGGTGAGCCACAAACACCTTACATTTGCATAGTCCCACCCAGTCATTAAGGAGCTCTGGTGGCCTGCTGGATAAGGCACTTGACTGCTAACTGGAAGGTCAGCAGTTCAAACCACCAGCAGTTCCAAGGAAGGAAGATGGGGCGATCGACTTCCATAAAGACTCACAGCCTCAGAAACCCAACAGGGGTCGCTATGAGTCAGAAACGACTCGATGGCAGTGGGTTGGCGGGAGTCACAAAGACCATGGCTAGAAGGACCACACTGAGTCATTCCCCGCACCACACCAGTGTTCACGCAGCGCTGTTTGCGGTAGCCAAAAGGGGGAAGGAACCCAAGTATCCATCCACTGGTGAATGGATACAAAGTGTGGTCTAAACACACAATGGGCTATGCAGACACACAATGAGACATTATACAGCCTTGAAAAGGAACCAAGCTCTGACCTGGTTGAACCTTGAAAACATTATGTCGTTGTTGTTATATGCCGTTGAGTCAGCTCTGACCAGCGACCTGACATACGACAGAAGGAAACACTGCCCGGTCCTGCACCAGCCCCACGACCCCGGCTATACCTGAGCCCATCATTGCAGCCACTGTGTCCGTCCATCTCGTTGAGGGCTTTCACCTTTGTCATTGTCCCTCCACCCTACCAAGCATGACATCCTTCTCCAGGGAATGGTCCCTTCTGACAACATGCCCAAAGGAGGTGAGACGAAGTCTGGCCATTCTCGCTTCCAAGGGGCATTCCAGCTGCACTTCCTCCAGGACAGACCTGTAGTTCTTTCAGCAGTCCACAGTACTTTCAGCATTCTCCGCCAGCACCACAACTCAAAAGCATCATCTCTTCTTCGGTCTTCTTATTGTCTACCTCTCGCATGCATAAGAGGCGATTGAAAATACCATGGCTTGGGTTAGGCGCACCTCAGTCTTCAAGGAGACATCTTTGCTCTTCAGCACTTGAAAGGGGTCTTTTGCAGCAGATTTGCCCAGCACAATACGTCGTTTGATGTCTTGACTGCTGGTGTTGATTGAATACATTACACTGCATGAGAAATGAATCAGGCACTGAAGGATAGATATGGTATGTCTGTGTTCATAGGAAATATCTAGACTAGTCAATGCACAGAGAGTAGCTTAGTGGTTGCCGCAGGCTGGAAGGAGGGGGGACGGCTGTTATCGCTTAATGGGTACAGAGTGTCTGTTTGGGGGGACGGCAAAGTGGAGGAGCAAGTATTGGTGTCTGTGGCCCAACAGGGTGGGTGTGACTGACAACCCTGGATTGTACACATGAAAATAATCAAAATGGCAAAATTCGTGTTGTGTATGTTTCAGCAATTAAATAAAACAAAAAGGCTGAGGGCCCAGAGCAACAAGTGGACGTATCTAAGGGCGGTGCCGGCTGCGTGCCCACCTGCTGGCCCATTTCTCCATGGCTCTGAGTAAGAAGTTCCTTCAGTGCTGGGCTAACACGGTGCAGGAGGGCTGGCATCGCTCGCCTTTCATTTGCATCCATTTAATTAAAGAGGCTAAACACGTCCCAGCAAGCGCATTAGCCAAATTGGTTTCCTCTTTGGCGACTCACTGGTTGTGCCCTTCCTTGTTTTTCTGATCAATTTCTCCAGCATCTCACACGGTGACAGTGATGGCATTTTGCCACATTCCTGCAAACACTGTGCCTTCTGTTTGCCTTTGTAGTTTGGTGGTGGTTTTTAACTTGTGGGCCCCACACATTTTTTTTTGTGTGTGATGTTTTCTGTGACTTCAAACTTGAACGTTACTCTCCTGCTAGAGGGTTTAATCAAAGTCCGATTCTATTTCCCAGGAAGACTTGAGATTTTGGGTAACTTTTGAGTTCCTCTGGAATCCAAACTCTTCAGCATCTGTCTGGTGGACGGTATGAGGAGGAGACCCAACTTCCTGCCCACACCCCACGCCCCCCCAGGTTCCCACCCCAGCATCCTGTTTCATAAGGGTCCAACTCTGCCTGGCAGCCTCCTTCCAGATCTTGTCTTAGTTCTCTAGTGTTGCTATCACAGAACCATGACAAGCGGGAGGCTTTAGCAGCCAGAAATTTATTTTCTTACAAATTAGGAGGCCAGAGTCCGGATCCAGAGCCCCAGCCCAAGGGGAGGCTTTCTCTCTGTTGTCTCTTCAGCTTCTGTGTTCTGGTTCCTTGGAGTTCACCCTGTGTCTTGGCGTCTGTCTTCCTCCATCTCGGCTTCCTCGTTGTGTTTAATCTCTTTTATATCTCAAAAGAGACTGATTTAAGACACACCCACTACTAACCCTGTCCCATTAACATAGTAAAGACAACCCATGTCCAAACGGGATTATGAGCACAGGCATAGCGGTCTGGATTTACAGTCCGTATTTTGGGGAGATACAATTCAATCCATCATAGACCCGCATCTTGACTGCCGCTGCTGGCTTAGATGTAAGGTAGAGTCACTCCCAGAGGAATTGGCTTTTAAAGGAAATGGTACGGGAGTCAGAAAAGGCCCCCAAAAGGAAGCAGTTAGTCTCAAAGGGTGTCAATCCCCTACACACCCCATCAGCAATGAGACAAGGTGAATGTGGGAGCCTGGAGAACTGGGGTCATGCAAATGTTTTTCAAACACTTCCAACAGTTTATAGACTTTACCCCTCCCCCAATTATTCCTTGTCCTCCATGCTCCACACTATAATCTGCCTGTTTCGTCACTTATTGTCCCTCCCTGGATTCGTGCATACTTGCTGAATGCATGAATGAATCTGTGAATGGGTGAACCCTAGTCCTACCTCCTCCTACAGTGTGTATATCCAAGATGCAACCCCATGGGCTGCCAGAGAGAACGAGCGAATCTGCTCGGAAGGACGGACAGCCGGAACGCTCCTTAGAAGCGAGGACGACAGACTGGACGCGTACTGCGGACGGGCCCAGGCCCGAGAGGACAGTGGGCCGTGAAGCAGGGAAGAGCCCCCGTGAGATGCAATGACACAGCGGCTGCAGTAGCGGGTACGCGGCCGCCGCAGTGGCTGCCAGGACGGCGCAGGCCCGGGCAGCGTGTCCGTGGAACACGGTCGCTGTGAGCCGGAACCAGCTCCAGACACGGAACAACAGCAACGCCCTCTTCCCACCCCCAGCTCTCTGCCCTTGTCTCCAGCCGCTGACATAGCTCTGCAGAGCGCCAAAACCGAAACCAACTCACTGCCCTCGGGTCGGACCCGACTCACAGCGACCCTCCTTGGGCCTCCGAGACGTACCACTACGGCGGAAGTAGACTGTCCAACCTTCCTTCTGAGGAGTGGCTGGCGGGTTTGAACCTCCAGCCTCCTGGTTAGCAGTCAAGTGCTAGGTGGAGGGACTGGGGGGGCAGGGGAATTGCGAAGAAGGGGCCAGCACCTGGGCTGCAGGTCCGCACTGGGGACTGTGGGAGAGCGAACTGAGCCAGGTGGGCCCAGGGCCCACCAGATACCCTCCCGTCCCCTCTGGGGGGTGGGACGGGCCCCCAGGCAGCAGGGCGGAGCGAGAGGGGCAGGCACGGGGTCGGGGAGCTGCTCACCCCATCTCACTCTTTTCCCCCATCTCTCACCTCCCTCCTGCGGCCCAGCTTGCTACCTGCACCTGCACCCCTCTCCCCACAAGTCCACCCCGCGCTTCTCCCGGCGGCCGCCAGAGGGCAGCATTGCGCGCTCCAGGCGCTCGGAGCGGCGGCGGCCAGCGAGCGGGCGCTGCGGGGCCCCCATCGCACCCCGACCCAGCGCGACCCCGGCCCCCAAGAGCCCCGCGCCCGCGCACGGGGAAACTGAGGCAGGGCCCGCGGCCCCAGCAGCGCGTCCCGGACGTCCCGCCCCGGCCCCCCAGGAGTGGCCTCCGAGCCCGGACTCCGGCCCTGACGTCACCCCGTGCCCCAAATAACTTCCTCCCGGAGCCGCTTCCGCGGTCCCGACCCACCAGCCGCGCCCGGGCAGTGACGCCGGCGACGGTCACCCCGGCCCAGCCTTCTCGGAGCTGGCTTCCGCCCCGCCCGCAGGCCGCAGGTTCCTGGCAGCCCCCGGGCCCGGTCCGGGTCGGGCCACCCTGGGGCGGAGCCCGCGAGCTAGGGTGGGGGTCTCCTGGGACCCCGTTTCCTGGGGAGGAGGGTCCCCGAGGAGCGCTGAGGTCACCTGGGGACCTCACACCTCCCGACCCTTCACCGGCTCGTCTTCTTCCTAAATTTTATTTATTTTCTTATTGTTGAGAGTACGCGAAGGACAAGTTGCAGTAATGCAAGCTCTCCACCGAGACTTCAGTGCCCGGAGGCCACTCCCCACCCTCCTCCTTCGGGTTGTTGCCCCCGCACTACCAGGAAACTCACTGCCCCCTAAGGTTCCGGTCTCATGGTGGCAGCAGCTGTTGGCAATTGCACCCCTTTTGGGGGTTTTTTTAAAAGGGTTGGGGCCCCGGGCGGCCTTTTTTCCTTGTTTAGGTTAACTTTTTTTTTGTTTTAAGAGGACTTCAGAGGTAAATTTTTGGTTTAAGGTTTAAAGATATTTCAGGGCAGTAGTTTCCGGGGTTCACCCATCCACCATGGCTCCAGAAAGTCTAGAGTCTCTGAGAATATGAGACTCTGTTCTACATTTCCCCCCCTTTTGATGAGAAATTTCTATGGCACCTTTGATCAGCATGTTCAGGAAGGGTAGTCTTACTAACTCTACTCCATAAGATCAAGCCACCTGGCTGGTTCTCATCTGTCCCACCAGAGTGTCCCCCGAGTCAGGTCTCGTTCTCTGATGCCTGCCTTTCCTGACACTCAATAAATATTGAAGGAAAGAATCAATGAATGAACCAAACAGGGAGGGTCTCCTGGTGCAGCCAGGGCGTGTGGGACCCGGGGTGAGTTGAGGGGGCTGCGGAGCCACTTGGGGGTGTCTGGGACCAGTTTGCGGTGGGGGAAATCAAGGCCACCAGCATGCAGAAGGGACAGCACCCCCAGCACCAGGGCCCCAAGGGGTGTTGTGATGAGGAGAGGGGGTCTGAGCTGGAGGGTTCAGGGCCAGGTCACAGGAGCCGGGGCTCCCGGGATCCCTCCTTCTTGCGAGAGAGGAGCTGGGTAGGCTGGGCCAACAGGTCGGGCTGCATAGCCGAGCCTCCACTCACCACCGCTGGCATAAAACCCCACTTCATGGAGCCCCGCAGTTCGCTGCTCCCTGTTCGGGCCCACACCCCCCCAGGCCGAGAACATGAGGCCTCCGGCCCTGGTGCTTCTGCTGCTGCTGCTCAGACTTGGTGAGTCGGGGCCACGGGCCCCGCTGCCCCGCTAGGGGGTCTCTCCGGCTGGGCCCCTGCTGGCTGGGCCGGGCCTTCACTGCAGGACAGGCCTCCCCTCCCCTCCCCTCTCCAGTGGTGGTCCTCAAGGGTAAGAAGTTTCTAGGTGAGACATGGGGGTGGGGGAGTGGAGGGGCAGTGGGGTGTGGGGGGGGGCGTGGGTGCAGGCCTGAGAGCCCCCCTTAGGCAGTGACAGCAGCAGGGGTTTCCCTTCCCACCTCCCCCCACCTGGAGCTCTGTCCTTGGGCCTTCTCCTGCTTCCTGTCCTCCTGGCCCCGGCATCCCCCTTAAAAGCCTGGTCCCTCCCCAGCTCCAAGTGGGCTGGTCTCTTGGTAAGGATTTGAACTTGACCCTGGAGCCCCCCAGAGAGTGGGGGGGCAAGGATGCAGGCTGTAAAACATCTCGCCAGAAAAGAAGGGGCTGGCGGAGCAGGTGAGGCCCCTGGTCCGCACCTCCAACCCTGGTTTCCAGTGGCGGGTGATGCCTGCCAGACTCCTCCCTGCAGGGCAGGGCCCTCTCTGCCAAGAAAACCCTCCTGCATTCCTGGGCCAGCCCAGCCAGCCTGGCAGCCGCCACACTTCCCTGTCCTCAAGTCACCTCCCAGGCCGGGCAGGTCACCCCAGGTTGCGGCCGGGCTCCAGGCTTCCTTGTTCTTGGTGGTACGAGGGCTCCAGGGCCGCACCTCCACAGGGGGCCCCCAGCTGCCTGGGCCCCCAGTGGGCTTGGTCCTCCCTGCCCACTCCTGGCATGGGCACAACAGGCTTCTTTGAGTGTAGCCGGCTCCACCAGGGTGTGGACCGCAGGGCTGCTCCAAGGGGGTAAGTAATCAAAGTGGAGACAGGCAGGCCTCACAGTCAGGCAGTGGCAGAGCCCGACGCCTACGCCGCCTCCCCCCGAGCCCACCGCTGGCCTGCTGCCTCAGGCTCTTCTGTGCTAAGCCCTGAGCCTCTCGGTCCCCACCAACCCAGCTGCATCCCAGTAGGAGCGCTTGGGCCCTGGGCTCAGGGATGACAGCCCTGACTGTCCCATCCAGCCCCTGACAGGGTGCCCCTGCAGCGCCCAGTTCTCCCAGTTACCCCTCCTTCATGAGCCACCCTCCCCAGTCCCTCCTTCTGCCCCTCCAAGTGTTCTCTGAGCTCTGGGCTGTGCCTTCACGGAGCTCCTGGGCTCCTGGGTGAGAGGAGAGGAGGCTTTTAGTTCCAGGATGAGTGAGTAGCACCACGCAAGGCCCAGGGGAAGGACAAGAGGGAGCGAAGCTTCCCCGACAGACAGTGCAAGCAGGGAAGACTTCCTGGAGGAGGAGAAGGCCTGTTGGTGTGGCCTTGATCAGCAACTACAATTTGGACCTGTAGAGCTTGGGAGGGGGGCTTCAAGGCAGAGGGAGCGGTGCAGGGAAAGCCCCAGGCCTAGAAGGCTCAGCGGAGACAAGGAGCAGCAGACAGAGGGGCAGCTTGGTGTGAGGGGCCTCAGAGCACCAGGCCGTCGGAGTCGGGACTTGATCCGGGAGCCTTGGCTACTGTGAGTGGCTCTTTGTTGCCAGGCAGGGACTTCCAAGAGGAGGTGCTTGCTAAGTACCAGAAAGAGTAAAAGACCCTAAAGCATGCTGGTGCGGCCAAGGACAGAGCACGGGGACTGGGAGCCTCTGTTACAGGCAGAGATCAAGGAAGGGACAGGTGTCATAAACAGGATTCGATTAGATTATCCTGTGATGGGAAGGGCTGATAGGAGAAACCCTCAGGGTCATTCGCATTTTAAGAGGGTACCTTATAACACACATTAACAGCAGGATGCCCAGGGCTGTTTCTGACACCAGTGTGAGGTCCCTAGTCCTGCTATAATGGAAATACCACAAGTGCATGGCTGCAAGAAACAGGAATGTGTTTTCTCACAGTGTAGATTGGAAGGAAAAAAAAAAAAAAAAAACACTGCCATTGAGTCCATTCCGACTCATTTTGACCCCATTGAGTTTCCAAGTACGGAAGTAGATTGCCCCATCTTCCTTTTAAGGAGAGGCTGGTGGCTTTGAACCACCAACCTTCTGGTTAGCAAGCCAACGCCTTAGGCACTGCACCACCAGAGCCTTTGTTTAGGGGATCAGAAGTCCCACTTCAGGCGCCTGCTCCCGGGGAAGCTTGCTTTCTGTGTTCCAGCATCTGGGAGCCTGGCATTCCCTGGAGATCGCCATGTGTCTTGGCATCAGTCTTCCCCTGGGTCTAGGAGGTTCTCAGCACAAGGGGCCCTGCTCCTCGCTCTTCTTTCTCTGTAGTAGTCAGGTCCTCCCCACTCCTCACTTCCCTCTCCTCGTAGCTGTTGTCAGAGAAAAGGTGATTCAGGTCACGTCCCACGGAAACACCCTTCACATGGGATCAGGGCTGTCATCTGACCAAGGGTGTTGCCTCTCACCCTAATCCTCTTACATCTGATTGGCTGATCACATCAGATCGCATCATGGGGGTGACGCCATCATTACATAACTGCCAAATTAAATGACATCGTTACATAACTGCCAAACCGAGAATCATGGCCCAGTCACATGGACATGTATTTTGGGGGGATACAATGCAATCCACTGTGACACCACCCTTGCCTTCTGCTTGGCACCCCTGCTTTGAAAAGTCCCCACCCCTGCCCTGTGTCCCCTCAGCTACCCAGAGTCACCCCTGTTTTTTCCCCATCACAGCTGTCCCCTCCCCCCCCTCAGCTGCCTCATCTCCCAGCCCCACTGTCCTCATCTCTCCGCCATGGCACTGGGGAGTGGGCCCCTAGGACTGGGAAGAAAGGGGGTTCTGTAAAAACCCTCGAGGTCCTTGGAGTCCCCACAGAGACGCATGGCTGCTACCCGGCTACTTCCTGTCCTATGGCTCCTCCGCTCTCTCTGATTGGTTGTCTTTTCTGGTCAAAGAACAAAGACACAGCCAACAGCAACTGCCCATCCTTGGGGCCCCGGAAGGAGTTAGGGTTTAGGGAAAATGCTGACCGCACATGCTCCCAGCAAACTGGACACGCCGGTGGGTGGTGGAGAGAGCAGTTTCCATGGCAGGTATTTGCAGAGTGTTACTGGGCTGGGCTGTAGCCTGGCTGGGGTCTCAAGGCTGGTCCTTGCTTAAAGGCCAAGTAACAGGTGCAAGAGCTAATGGGTTTGGGGAAAAGGGTCCCCGTTTCTGCTTCCCCAGAGCAGCCTTCACCCTCTCCCCTCTACCCGCTCCCTGACTCCCCCCCCCATGATGTCTTGGGCCTCAACTACAGAGAATGTGGGAGGCCTGAGGGAGGGGTCAGCTTGGGGAACCTGTGTCTGTGGGTGACCCATGGTGACATCTGGGCCCTGGAGAGCCTGGGACGCTGGGCTGAGGAAGGAAGTTAGACCGGGGAGAGTTTCCGGCACAGACTTTGAGAAGGCCCCGGACCTTCCAACTGCAGGAGCAGCCCCGCCCCGCACAGGGAACGCCCTGCGCCCAGCTCAGCACTGTCCCGGGGAGCTGGCGGCCTGGGGTCTCCTCCGCACCTTCCAGATGAGGACGGGTGTGGCGTCTGAGGCAGAGATGGGATGGGGGTGACACGGCCCTCACCTGCCCAAGCAGGGGCCCTTCCCTGGCACCCCCTGCCCGGCCCCAGCCTTGCAGACAGCTGTAACCTCTGGCCTGAGGATGTCCTAGAGACCAGCCTGGGACTGAGCTGGCTGCTGCCGGGGCCCTCAGTGCAGGTGGGGAGGGGAGCGGCTGGCCAGAGGAGGCGCGGACCCTGCCGTGTGGCTGACCACCCCTCTTCCTTACTTCCAGGGACTCGGGGGACCGAGGCATCAAGAGGTGAGCAAGCGAAGCCCCCCGGGTGTGTGTGGTGGGGCAGGAGCCAGCCTGCCTGAGAACTGCAAGGTGCTGGGCAGTAAGCCACAGGGAGATTCTGACTCTTGGAGCAAAGGGGAAAGTGACTGTCCCCACCCCATATACACAGTCATACGCGAGTACACACACACACGCACACATGTACACTTGTGCACATACATGCATTCACATACACACAAGCGCCCACATGCACGTGCACACATGCACGTGCACACATATACACACATGCTCAGGCACAAGTGTGCCCACATACATATGTGCACATACACATGTACACGTGCACACATGTGCACCTGTATATTATGCACATAGATACACATAGACACATGTGCACACATGGGCACCTGTGCACATATATATATATGCACCCACATAGACATGGGCGCCCACATACACACATGCACACACATGAACCTGTGCAGCTGTGCACACACGTATACACGTGTGCGCACATGCACACTGTGCACACAGGGTGGGCACACAGTGCTCTCGCACACATGTGCACACACGTCCACACTCGTGCTCACATACACATGTGCACACACACACACGCACCCCAGGATCGACAGTGAATGAGCTGAGCACCAGGAGTCTCACAGCAGGAAAATGTTGTGGCTGAGGAACTGGAGAAAGTTGTACTCTTCAGGGCGCAGGGGGCTTTGAGGCTGGATGGAAATGGGGCGGGAAGAGTGACGTCAGGACTGGGGCCTCGGTGGCCATGCAGGGCCCGAGGCCACGCGCCCGCTGGGCCTGCCCCCACCCACACCAGCCGGCCTCCTGGAGGCCGTGTCCTGTCAGGACCATCCCCTCAGCACCCCCAGGACCCCCGGGTCAGGCCCATGTCACCTTCCAGGGCCCAGAGGGGCGGTTCCGTGGGAGCGGTCTGCGTGAACCCGAGGGTCCGGCAGGGAGGGCCCCGGAGCTGAGCGCAGGTGGGAGCGGGGGCTGGGGCGGGGGGTTGGATGTCGGGGCTCAGAGCGCGGGGCGCAGCCAGCGAGCGCCCCTCCGTCGCCGTGTCCCCCCAGCCTGCGGCCGCCCCCGGACGCTGAACCGGATGGTGGGCGGGGAGGACGCGCAGGAGCGCGAGTGGCCGTGGCAGGTCAGCATCCAGCGGAACGGGAGCCACTTCTGCGGGGGCAGCCTCATCTCGGCGCGCTGGGTGCTCACCGCGGCCCACTGCTTCTCCAAGTGAGTGCGCCCCGCGCCCGGCGCCTTCAGCACCGCGGACAGCGCCCGGAGGCCCGGCCCTTCGCGCTCGGCGCTGGCCGGCCGGCGGGCTGGGGCTGCAGCCTGACCGCCCACTGCTGGAAGCCCTGGGCACGCCTGACCCGCCCGCCCAGCCAAGGCCCCAACAGGGCCAGTCCCAGGGGCCTCGCTCCGGCCAGCCGGGGGGTCCACTCCCTCAGCGCTGGTCCTGCCCACGGTTCCGGGAGGGAAGCTCCTTCCAGGCCCCAGCCTCTTCTTCAGCTCCCCTCCCACCTTTCAGATCCAGGACTCTCCCTTCCTGGACTCGGTACATTTGAGCCCAGAGCCGGGCACACGGTTGGCGCCCTCCTCCCACTGCAGAGCTCAGCCCCTCGGCCCCTGAACAAAGCGCCAGGCCATCCCACCTGCTGCCCAGCTCCGAGCGCCACGGTCCCCACACTCGGGGGTTCCCAGGGCTCTCGGGTTTCCTCCACTCACACCATGAGATCATAAGATGGGAAACGTGAGCTCAGAGGCAGCGGACCGATTGCTCAAAGCACACAGGCAGGGCTGGGCCCATGTCCAAGCCACGCCGCTCCCAGCTACCCCTCCCCGCCCACCACGGGCACATCTGGAGGGGCGACCTGGAGCACTGGCACGGGCCAGGCCGTCTCCTCCACTCCCCCCAGGAAGCCTTTCAGGTGGGGCTGTTCCTATTTGACAGACAGGGAAACTGAGTCACGGACAACTGGCCGGGTGACTTGCCTGAGGTCACCAGCTGGCCAGGGTGGGGCTGGGAATTCAAGGCAGAGCCTGGCTCCGGTGCCCACACCTCTGCTGCCGCACGGAATCAGACTTCAGGCCGGAAGGGAGTAGCCCCAGCCCCTACGCCACCTCCCTGCTCCCCTCAACCTCCACCAATACCCCCTTTAGGCCTCGGAGGGGCTGCCTCACCAGTTTGCTCTCTCCCACCAGCACGTCGGACATGTCCCTGTATCGGGTCCTGCTGGGGGCCCGGCAGCTGGTGGAGCCAGGGCCGCACGCCGTGTACGCCCGGGTGAAGCGGGTGGAGGGTAACCCCCTGTACCAGGGCATGGCCTCCAGCGCAGATGTAGCCCTGGTGGAGCTGCAGGAGGTGGTGACCTTCACTGACCACATCCTCCCTGTGTGTGTGCCTGACCCCTCGGTCATCTTCACCACCGGCATGAAGTGCTCTGTCACCGGGTGGGGCAGCCCCAGCGAACAAGGTAAAAAGGCAGGGCCAGGAGAGGAGGCCTAGAGCAGACAGCTTGGGGGCCACTCTGAACCACTGATCTTCTGCTGCTGATATGGGTCTCATGATTTTTCCTCCAATGGGTGGGTTGGGATGGGAAACGGGCAGCGGGCTCAGGAGGAGGAGCCACGGGGAAGAGGAGGGCAGAGGACAGAAACAGCCCAGGCCGGTGCCTGGGAGAAGGGGTGAAGGACTCCGTTCCCCAAGGCGCTGAGCCAGAGAGGTTGAAAGCCAAGCAAGACGGAGGGCGGGCAGAGTCCTCCCCTAGACTGTTCTGAGCGGCGCCCCTCCCCAGACCGCCTGCCGAACCCCCGAGTCCTGCAGAAGCTGGCCGTGCCCATCATCGACACCCGGAACTGCAACCAACTGTATGGTAAGGACACGGACTCCGACTTCCAGCCCCAGACCATCAAGGATGACATGCTGTGCGCAGGCTTCGCTGAGGGCAAGAAGGACGCCTGCAAGGTGGGCTGAGGGGCCACCCCAGGAGAGCCAGGTCTGGGGTGGGGCCCAGGACTCTGCATTTTTCACACAGCCGGCTAGGTGACCCGGGACAGGTCATCTGAGGATGCTAGAAAAGAAGATGTGCTAGGCAAGGGGAAGGAACAGGAAGGGGTGGGGCGTGAATGGGCAGGAAGGGTGCAGGGAGGGCCGAGAAGGGAGCCAGGGTCCAGGGGTGAAGTGCAGGGTGTGTGCCTGTGTGTGCAGTGCGCGTGCACGTGCGTGCGCGGATATGTGCACGTGCGTGCGCGGATGTGCATATGGGCATGTGTGCGTGTGTCCACTGTGTGTGTTACACACACGCGCGTGCACCTGCAGAAGCTGTTCTTGGGTCTTTGTGGGCTGGGGGAGTCCCTGTCCACGCCCTGAGGTGGCCTCTGCTTCCCACACAGGGCGACTCGGGGGGCCCTTTGGTGTGCCTCGTGGATCAGGCCTGGCTGCAGGCTGGGGTGATCAGCTGGGGCGAGGGCTGCGCCCGGCGGAACCGCCCAGGTGTCTACATCCGGGTCACTGCCCACTACGACTGGATCCACCGGCTCATCCCCGAGCTGCAGTTCCAGCGTGCGGGCACCAGAGGGAGCCAGAGGCGAGCGCCTCGGGCCCCGGAGCCGCCGGCGCGGAACCTGGCGCTCTGCCTGGGCGCCCACGCCATCCTCCTGGGCCTCGCCGCCCTGCTCACCGCGCTCTGAGCCCCCGGCCCGCCGCGGAGGCCGGCCGCCGTGTCCCTATGTAAATAGCCCTCCTGTCCTCTCTACCCTCACGCCCAGCGTTTTTATTTATGTTCAACCTCCAATAAACGGCCAACCTCGGGCCTGCGGACGCTCCTTGCGGGGACGGGGCTGGTCCGAAGCAGCTGCAGTTGGGGGCCGACGCTCTAGGTGGCAGAAGAGGCCAGGGACCCGGGACCCGGAAGGGAAGACGGGTGGGCGGGGCTTCCCGGCTGGAGGGCCTGGGCTGTCACCCGGGCCACCTGCGCCGGGCCCGCTCCCGGGGCCCTCACCTCCACCCCGGCTGCGAGACCCAAGCAAACCCGGATCCCATTCGTGTCTCAGCCCGTTGCTTTGAGTGTGTGCGGAGGACCACCGGGCTGGGCGCCGGGGACAAAGACACCGGAGGGAGTGCGCCCGCCGCTCCTCCCACGAGCTCAGCCGCCGGCGGGCCCCCTGCGCGGTTACTCCACACGCCTGCGCGGCCAGTCCAGCCCAGTGAGGTCCCCAGCTCCATCCACGCGCACACCGACCTTCCCGGCTGAGGGCTTGGGTTCCTGCTGCAGGCGGCAGGCCTGTCGGCACAAGTGCACGCCCATGCACGTGCTCATCTGTGCACGCTCCAGGAACACACAGCTCTGTGCATGTACATGTATGTGTGTGTAGGGACACAACCACGCACACGTGCACACCAACGCATACACATGTATATATATACACACACACACACACCGTGCAGACATCCCCATGAACATACATCTGTGCATGTACACACATGCACACATGCACATCCATGCACACATCCCCCATGAGCACACACACACTTGCACACAGGATGCATATATATACACTTTCCCATGCCCACCAATGTGCACACGTGCACACAATACACTCGTGCACACACTACCCTGAGAGACACCTGTGCGTACACACCCATGCGAACATGTTCACCTGTGCACACACCCATGTTCACGCACACACACCTCTGTGGACACATGCACACACCCACATATGCACATGCACACACAGCCATGCACACACACAGGCACAGCTGCCCACCGTGCGCTGGGAGCAGCCGTCACTGGCTAATTAAGGAAACGGTCAATAACCACTCAGGCGCCTGCTGTGGCCCTGGCCCTGGGGACAGAGGAACACGCACGGGCTCTCTCCCTCGTGGCCTTCCTCCTGTGGGGCAGGAAGGACAGTCCCTGTGCCTGGAAGATGCCCCGAGGTCCCGCTGCCCCCTAGCTGTGCACTGGCCCTCCCTGACTGCAGAATTCTTTCTCAAGACCAGAGACAGGGTCATCCCTGGCCTGCAGCCCCAGGGCTCTGTGACGGTGGCGGAGGCAGGCAGCTGCACTGTGGCCGCCGTGGGGAGAGGGCTGGCCGGGGCCCCGGAGGGCAGGCCTCGAGGGACAAGCTGGGGGCCATCTGGCTGAGCTGGCCCACGACCCCCAGCCTTGGGAGGGAAGCTGGGGGAGAAGATTGCCGGCCAGGAGGGCACGGACCAAGGTCCACCCTCGGGGGCTCAGCACGTCGTCTGTCTCCTCTAGGCTGCAAGGTTTCAGGGTGCCCCTGGCCCCAACACCCTCCTCATCCTCCTGCCTCTACTACAGAGCAGGGTTTGGGGCTGACAGGGCTGGAGGCTGTGCCAGGCTTGTAGACCCCAGGGGGACAGTGCCTGCCTGTCTGCCTCTCTGGTGCCTACCACTGGGAGGGTGAGTGGGGCCACACAAGACAGTGGCTAGCATGTGGCCGGGCACCACTCACAACGACCACCCATTGGCTTGCCCCAGGCCCACGGAGCACTCCCTGGACCGACGCTTGCAGGAGATGAAACCTCCTTCCCCACCAGCGCGTGTTTACTTTGTGTGGCTGACAGGCCGAGGCAGCTTTAGCGTCACAGGATGTTAAAGGATGCGCCCCACTGGCCAGGCTTGTTCTCCAGGCGCCAGCAGCCTCTCCCTGGGGTGGGGGCCCTTTGATGAGAGCCGCAGCCTCAGAGTGATGGGGGTGGGGGCTCGCAGGGCCCTCCAGCTACAAGAATTCAGCAACAGCAGGAGGCAGTGGGGAGGGGCTAGGCTGGGCTCCCCAAGGCGTCACCATCCCTCCCCACCAAAATCAAACCCCCTGCTGTTGAGTCAATTCTGACCCACAGCACTCCTAGAGGACAGAGTGGAAGTGCCCCACAGAGTCTCCAAGGCTGTCAATCTTCACTGGATCAAAGCCCAAATCACACCCACTGCTGTGGAATCGATTCTGACCCACAGCGCCCCTAGAGGACAGATTGGAACTGCACCTCGGGGTTTCCAAGGCTGTCAATCATCACAGAAGCAAAGCCCAAACCACACCCAAAGCCATGGAGTCCATTCTGACCCACAGCGCCCCTAGAGGACAGAGTGGAACTGCACCTCAGGGTTTCCAAGGCTGTCAATCCTTCTGGAAGCAGACTGCCTCGTCTTTCCCCCATGGAGCAGCTGGTGGGTTTGAACAGATGACCTTCTGGTTAGCAGCCCAATGCTTTAATCACTGTGCCTGCCTCCACCACCATCACAGAGCCCTGGGGCTGCAGGACGGGGATGACCGTCTCTGGTCTTGAGAAGGAATTCTGCAGTCAGGGAGGGCCAGTGCACAGCTAGGGGGCAGCGGGACCCCGGGGCATCTGCCAGGCACAGGGACTATCCTTCCTGCCCCACAGGAGGAAGGACATGAGGGAGAGAGCCTGTGCATGTTCATATGTCCCCAAGGCCAGGTCCACAGCGGGCGCCTGAGTGGTTATTGACTGTTTCCTTCATTAGCCAGTGCCAGCTGCTCCCAGCACACGGTGGGCAGCTGTGCCTGTGTGCGCGCATGGCTTCCCCGCCTGGGGGGTGGGCTTTCCAAGTGGAAGGCCCAGCTGTAGCAACCACAGTGGTCGGGGCGTGATGGGGAGGTGGGTCAGCCTTCCAGAAGCCCTGTCTGTTCAAGCTTCCAGGGCCCAGGGAGTCAACTGTGGGTGCTGGAAGTCACAGGGTGGCTCTGAGCCCAGCCCAGCCACAGCCATGGGCAACTCGGCCCCTGCTGGGGGCTCCCAGAATCACCTGGAGCTGAGGTGCGAAGGCTGCCGGGCAGGGCAGGAGGGGTGAGGAGGGGAGAGACATCAGGAGTCAAAACACAGGCGAGTCAAAGCCCGCAGCCCCCAGGGCTGTGCACGGCCTCCGCACCTACGACAGAGCAGCCTGCTCATGGATGGTGGGCGGACAGACAGAAGGAGGCTCACCCCACAGGGCTGGAGGTGCATGCTGGGATGGACAAGACCACCCTCTCCAGGGCAGCTGTGGCCCCGGCGCCCAAAGAAGGAAGGTGCAGGGGCCAGGGTGCGAATGAGGTGGGGGGCGGTGCTGGCCCCGGGAGATGTGGGGAGCATTCAGGGCATGAGCTCACAGGCGTCCCGGCGCTGGGCCGAGAGCTCACGGGCCCTGGGCCTCGGTGGCCGAGGACGCTTCAGACCGGAGGGCCTGCCCCTTCACACTGCACACCTGTCCAGGGCTGTGCTCGGGCCACCCCAGGCGCTGGGTTCCCTGGAGTCCAGCAGAGGCGGGCGGGCGCCGGCAGTCAGGCTGCTGAGAACGCTGCTCCGCAGAGCAGACCCCAGTTCCCTCCCCACAGACGGGCAGGGCTCGCAGCGAGGGCCTGGCTGGATCACCCTGGGGTCAAACACGTCACGGGGCCTCAGCGTGCAGCTGCAGCTGGGGGGTCGACACCTGTGTAGGGCACCACCAGGGGGAGCTGGAGCAGAGGGCAGCCACGTGGACGTGGGGGATGGGAGGCCTCGGTGCAGGGTCACGCCGGTGACGGTCTCCTTATGCCCCGGGTGGGGTGTGACGTTGACCAGGTGGTCAGCAAGGTTGCTGGGCCCCAGGCCTGAGAGCAGACAGACGTGTGGATGGATGGATCGACAGGTGGGGTTCCCAGTGAGCCGAGGCCAGCCAGCCCCAGGAGGGGCAGGCAGGAACCCCACAGCCGGATCCTTATGAGGGTGGCTGGCCGCTTAAGACACTAACTGCTGTGACTCTAAGTCATAAATACAGGATTTTATTTGCTATTTTCAGGGGAAACTTAGGTCTTGAACTGTAAGCTGATAAAATACAGACACTAAAAAAGTATAAAAGTATAAATATCCCCTGGGAACAAACCTTAGTGGGGTAAGTCGCAACGTCTTTAAATTATAAACCCACGAGCCCAGCTACCCTGCCAAGGTCCTACCCTGCCAAGGTTGTACGCCTAGCGCCCCTGGTGGAGCCCACCCTCTCGGCGAGGATGGGGCCACCTCCCTGCTGGGCTCTGAGGGTGCAGTCAGCCGGGGCCCGATCCACCTTGTAGACAGGTTCCACGTAAACCGCTGAAGCCAAGCGCATACTGATGTCCGAAAGACTTTACAGAAAGGAGGTAAGTCCTAGATGCTCGAGAGCTCGGCTGACCAGGTCGTTGGCAAAGGAGCGGAGGGCAGGGGCCAGAACTCTCGGGAAGTACTGGGAACCAGAGGGGCTGAGAGCCGCCGACCCCGGCTCTGGTGGCCCTGGCGGCCCTGGCAGTCAGTGCGCAGAGCCCAAGTCCGGAAGCAGAGTTGGCGGCCCCTCCGCGTTCTGCCACCCGCCGCCAGCAAGCTGCGCTTGTTTGGGGAGTGTGTGAGCGGCCTCTGGCGGCCTCCAGGCAGCTCGGTGCCCAGCGGGCAAGCTGAGCCCGTGCAGGCCACATGCGTCTCACATGTCCGGAAAACGCGAGAACTGCATAGTTAGACGGAGGGAACGAGGGAGCAGGCGCGAGAGAGACGTGGGATGTGTGTAAACACCCGGAATGTTCCGAGGACTCCGGGGCGAGCCGCCCTCTCCCCGCCCGACACCACCGCAGGCACAACGAAGGCACCCAGCTGCCGCGTCACGAGCCGGTCTCTGGGCTGAGGCGTCTCGACTAACAGGACCGAGCCCGAGAAGAGCAACACTTAAAGGCATATCTGAGAAGGAGAACACCTGGCCGGCCGCCCACACTGGGAAGAAAGGACAAGGTTCTCTTGCCGGGAAAGCAGAGTGAGGAGCACGACTCTTCGCTCGTGCAACGAGGCCAGGAGCGAGTGGGCCGGGGAGACCCCTGCCGCTGGGGGCCCAGCCGGGGGCTGACGTGAGGCCCCCGTGACTGGACGCCTCCGATGGGTGGAGAGAAGCGTCCTGTGAGGCTCGCCCCCTAGGAGCACAGAGATGTGGCAGGCGGGTGCCAGGACGCCCAGATCCAGGGTCCCACAGCGGATGCACCACCAGTGACTTCTGGCGGACCACAGCTTGCAAGGGACCGTAATGTAGCACCAAGGACGCTGTCCTCCAAACCATCTTCAGTGATTAAGGAAAAGGTCGCTCCCAGCATCACGGCATCCGGGGGTCCTGGGGGTCCCCCGCCGCCCATGCTCCCCATGCTCCTCAGCTCCGCTCTCCAGAGAGGCGTCACATGCAGGCCCCCAGCACAGCGCTCATGGCACCCGGGGAAAGGAAAACATTTTGCGGCTGTCAGTCTCATATGTCCTTCACATCCGTGAACCTCGCTCCTGCAAAATCTGAAAGAGATCAAGTGTGGATGGTGAAGTATGGGCCTGGGCAGGAGCCTTCATCCAATCAGAGAGCTGGACCTGCACGTTGGTCACAGCCACTGCCTGGGCCCTCACCACCAGAGACAGGGCACTGCCCTGAAGGGGGACAGCCCTGGCGAGCTTGGGGATCCCCCATGCCAGCCCATAGGCCCTCCCCAGGCACCCGCCAGGAAAAGGCACACGGTGGTCCGACCCCCGACCTCAGGAAGGTCTATGAGTGGCCTTGACAAGGGAGGGGGCAGAGCCCGGGCCCATCACCCCACCAGGGGCCGCGACTTGCTGGCAGGGTCGCCTTCCTCCACCCCTGCCCCCAGCCCTCCCACAGACTCCGGGATGTTCCCATAGCCATGTGGCTGGCACACGATCTGGGCAGGTGCAGCGAGGTGCCATCCCCTCGGTCCCCACAGCCTGAGTCTCTGGGAGCACCCCGTAACAGCAGTCAGTGCCATAACCACGGGGGCACGACCAGCAGCAGAGGGAGACCCGACCCGGGCAGTGGCCACTGGGGCAGGCACATGCAGCCAGGGGTCGTACCGGCCAAGCCCGAGGCAGCTTGGGGCCCTGGCTGGTGCCACCAGTTGAAGTCCCTCAGGGCTCACCTCCTCACACACTGTCCACAACACCCTGAGCCTTGACCCAGGCCACCTGACAGGCTGGGGTTCACGCCCCCAGGGGGCCCCAGAGAACACAGCCCACCCCGCCAGGGACTCCCAGGCTTGAAGGCGAACAGGATGCGGGAGCAGGGACCTGTCCCCCCCGACAGCTGCCCTGCCTTTTCCTGCCCTTCACCCCATGGCACTCGCCTCCTGAAGAAACGGCTCCACAGGACTGGCCAGGGCCCTCCCCATGGGTCCAGCAGGAGACCCTCCCTCCTCAGAGCCAACCCCAACAAGGCAGATGAGGCCGAGGGGACCCCGGGCCGAGGCTGCCACTGGGAGCAAGGACCCAGTCACCCGAGAAACTGCCCCACAGGGACCTGAGAGCCCCAATGCCTGGCCTGCAGGCTTCACCATGCCCCCGCACCAGTGGACCCTCCCGACAAGTGAGGGAAAATGATGCGACCACAGGCACGAGAAGCACAACCATCCCGGGAAGCGGCCACCGGCTCAGCTCCAAGCCAGGCAAAGGAGCAGCCTGCCCACGGCCCCGCCCCTGCCCAGCGGCAGGCCCCGCCCCGCCGACGGCCCCGCCCCACCGACGGCCCTGCCCCCGGCCCAGCAGCCACCCCCGGGAGAACGTGGCTGCCATGCCCACCTTGGCCTTCTCACTGGGCTCGCTGGCCGTGCCGTACGGCATGTTGTGCAGCTCCTTGGAGACGACACAGAGGAACTCGGCCTGGTCCTCGTTCCCGTAGTTGTAAGAGGACCCGATACTGACCAGCTGGAAGGCAATGGGCAGCCCGCATGACGTCCCCGGGCCCACGCAGCCCGCCCACCGCAGGCACTGACGCAGGTGCAGCACACGGCCTGAGCTTCAGGTGGGGAGCACAGCGCCGCCCACACAGGGACATAGTGCCTGGGACAAGGAACTCACGGGAAACAGCTCCCAAGATCTCCCCATGCACACCTGTGTCATACAGGCAGGCAGACACGCGCACACACGACCACAATCCCGTGGCAGGTAGATGCATACACAACCACAGTCCTGTGGCAGAGAGATGCACGCATGCACACACAACCACAACCATAATCCACACACACACACAGAGCCATTCACCTTCACCCCACAGCCACACTGAGAGTCACACATCTTCAAAATGCAAGATGACCCAAAAGGAAACCACAGGAAGGGTCCCGGGTCCCGGGTCCCGGGTCCCGGGTCCCGGTCCCGAGTGGTGATCACCGCGTCCAGGCACAGCTGAAGGGCCCCTTGCTCCCAGGCCTATGGGCCAAGGTCAGGAAGCAGGGCTTGGAGCAGGCCTGTGTGGGTGTACACGGGGGTCTGCGTGGGGGGCCCACGTGGAGGGGTCTGTGTGGGGGTGTGTAGGGGCCTGCACTGGTGTCCGTGGGGGCCCACGCAGCTGACCCCCAGGGCCGACCGCCGTCTGTCCCCAGGCCTGGCCGCCACCTCACCTGCTCGAACTTCCAGCCGTCGGACATGGTGGACACCATCTGTGTGAGTTCCTCCTCTTGGCACTGCAGCACGCGGTACACGTGCTTGACCGGCACCTGAGAGCGAGGCGGGTCAGCGGGCGGGCACAGCGCCCCCATACCTGTGCCCCCAGGCTCCGGCCACTCCCCCCGCCCCAAATCTGGAGCCGACCTTGTCATGTCCCACGCCCGGGCTCAGGTCTCGAGGCTCGAGACGCCTGGACGCGTCTGTGAGAGCAAATCAAACAGCCTGCCCGGCTGGGTGTCTGCTTCCTCACGTGTCTACAAACACGTTTCTAATCCTCAAATGAAACGAGTCAGGCTCCTGGAATCCCGGAGCACCTGTGACTGGCAGTAATGTGTGAGGAGGCTTGCTTCTGTCCTACACAAGGTATCGGGGTGAGCCCACAGGAAGTCCTGCCCTGGAGCCCTGAATCCCCACATCAGCCTGGGTGAGGGGGTGCCCTTCTGTGCAGGCTGATGGCCCCTGCCACAAAGGGTGGCCACTGGCCACGGGCAGCCTGGAGGTGACTATGCTGCCAGGCCCAACGCCCTCCCACCGGCCAGCGCCCGGGGGCCTCAGCAGCAGGGCTGGGGCTGTCGGCCGTGGTGGTGACGGTCTCCTGCCTCCCCCACCGGGCCACCGGCCAGTCCGTCAGTAAGCTCTGGGCCTGCAGGGCTCCCAGAGGACACACCCACTGGGGGGCGGGGCACGGGCAGATTTTAAGTGGACTGTGCCGGGCCTGTGAGTGGGCAGCGTGGCAGCCGCTCAGTAGCCTTCCTCCAGGGGAGGGGATCGGCCCTCCACTCTGGCTGCAGGCCGGCCAGGGGCAGAGCCGGACGCTCAGGCCAGACGGCGCCGGCATCGGTGGCAGTGTCAGCCTCCGCGGCCACGGACAGGGGAGTGACAGGACACGTGGCTCACAGGGGTCACTGACCTCTCCCTCACCCAGTAACGCCAAGGTCCGCATCGCCCCGACACCGGCCTCACCGCCAGCCCCCTGCTCACCTGCCCCAGCTTGCTGCCCACGCCTGTGGCCACCCCAGGCCCCGCCTGCCACTCCTGCTCGGATACCCCACTGGTGGAGACCACAGCGCCCCAGCGCCAGCTCGGACCGGGCCTGCCCTTCCCAGGCCCTGAGGACTGGGGTGGGTCCTGTGAGGCTCCGTAGGCCCCAGAGAGACTCGGGCACAGAGCTAGACATGCCGGCCCCGGGCACCAGCAAGTCCTGGCCCCCTGTGGGGAGAGTGGCCTTGAGGGGCCGCCGGAGGGGTTGCTGCGGGGCGAGGACAAGGAGGACGAGGAGGGAGAAGGGCCGGGCGCGGCCAGCCCGGAGCCCAGCAAGGCCTCAGGCCGCCTGCTCACCTGTGCTGTCTTGCTGTCTCGGTCTCGGATTCTGTCCTTCACAAGCTTTATGAGCGAGGTGATGTTGTAAAACTCGGCCTCCTCCAGCACACCTGGGGGGGAGCAGCTGTCACCCCACAAACCCGCGGCAGGGCGGGGCAGCGAGGCCCGGCAAGGGCTCTCAACGCATGCGCAGCTAGCACCGCAGTTAGACGGGTGGTCTCCCAGGAGAGGAGCCCCCAGCGGCCAGGCCCCACCCCCAGCCCCGTGCCCCCTGCCCTGTCAGCTTCCCGGATGCACGTGGCCCTCGAGCCTCCTCGGTGCGTCTGTGAAGCTAAAGCTGCTGTCTGTGGTGGAAACGCAGGCGCAGAGGCCCTGCAGGACTGCGCACCCACCCTGCCAAGGAGGGCTGGGCGGCGGGGTGGTCACCAGGCCCCGCCCCGGAGAAGACAGCACCCATCAGGCGCTCACTCACCCTCCTCAGCAAGGTCCTTGTTGATCACCAGCTTCCCATGTCGCAGGTAGTTGAGCACAGGCCCGAAATAGGTGGGGTCCCTGTCTATCAAGTAGGCACCAGTTTCATCCTGCGAGGAACAAAGCCCTGCAGTGTCAGACTAGAGACAACGAAGTTCTGTGGCCAACAGGCCATGTGCACAGGCCAGAGACGCGGGGTCACGCACATCCCCCAGGTTGGTGCGTGGGGCCCGGGACAGGCCCAGGGACAGTGAGATCCTGCAGCTAACCACGGCCAGGCCACGTGCACGGGCCAGAGACGGGGCCACACGTGTCCTCAGGGAGCTCACGGCCCAGCAGGGTGCCCACCACCAAGCTGCAGCTCCCGCCACAAGCTCAGGGCCTGTCACCACGTCACGTCTGAGCCATGGTGAAGCTGTCTTGTGCCATGACCATGTGGCGGAGGACCTGTGGCAGTCAGAGACGGGCCACTGGGGCAGCAGCTGCCTCCCTGCCAAGTGTGAGGACAGAGGGGCACAGTGGGCTTCATTAAACAGTCAAGGGCTCAGTCTACTGCGTCCTTTGTTTTAATGTCTTTAGGGTCGATGTGCGCTTTAAAGTCAGGGCTGGAACTACAAGGAGCCCCAGTAGTGCAACAGGTGGGCAGCTGGCGGTGAACCAAAAGGTTGGCGATTCAAACCCACTTGGCAGCTCCATGGGCGAAAGACCTGGTGGTCCGTCCCCATCAATACAGCAGCCTAGGAAACCTGCGGGGCCATTCTCCTCCACACGGGGCCAGCCAATGGTGACAGGTGCCCGTTATGTACAGGGAAGTTCGTCCCCATCAATACAGCAGCCTAGGAAACCCTGGGGGGCCGTTCTCTTCCACCACACGGGGCCAGCAAATGGTGACAGGTGCCCGTTGCGTACAGGGAAGTCCGTTCCCGTCAATACAGCAGCCTAGGAAACCCTGCGGGGCCATTCTCCTCCACATGGGGCCAGCAAATGGTGACAGGAGCCCATTCCATACAGGGAGGTCCGTCCCCGTCAATACAGCAGCCTAGGAAACCCTGCAGGGCCATTCTCCTCCACACGGGGCCAGCGAATGGTGACAGGTGCCCGTTACGTACAGGGAGGTCTGTCAGTGTCAATACAGCAGCCTAGGAAACCCTGGGGGGCTGTTCTCCACATGGGGCCAATAAATGGTGACAGGTGCCTGTTATGTATAGGGAGGTCTGTCCCCGTCAATACAGCAGCCAAGGAAACCCTGTGGGCCATTCTCCTCCACACCAGGCCAGCAAATGGTGACAGGTGCCCATTACATACAGGGAGGGGAGACGTGAGGGAAGGAGAGGAGCTCCCCACTCTGCCCCGGAGCCACGGGTGAGGGTTTAGAGGGTTCATCCCCCAGGGCACCGGCTCGCTGCGTGCTCGATGTCGTCCATCCAGGTGCCACGCAGGTGCAGACCGTGGGAGATGGCTCTAAGACAGGCAGGCCCACTGTGTGCACCCCCATGCGGGGCTCTAAATGGGACACAATCTGCTTACATCGCCCTGGGGCTACAGCATCAGTGCCAAACCCCTCGGACACCAGCTCAGGCCCCAGGAGGCTCCAAGCACAACCCTGTCTGGACAACCGTGCCAGGGACGGGTACATCTGTGCTCACAGATTTCTGCAGTGGCTTCCTTTCAACAGGTGCCAGTGAGAGAGTCAGCAAATATGCCACCTAGCCACCATCACCCTGCTCACAGCCACGTGTACATCCACCTATCACACTGCTAACAGCCGTGTATACACCCAGCTACCACCCTGCTCACAGGCACGGGTACACCCAGCTATCACTGCTCACAGGTGCATGCACATCCAGTTATCACTGCTCACAGCTGCATGTATGACCAAATGTCACTGCTCACAGCCACGTGTACACCAAGCTATCACTGCTCACAGCCACGTGTACACTG